TATTACTTTTAGCAATGTCTATTTTTTGACTATCGGCTGACTGGACTTTTCCATGAAAACTTTTCTCAGAATTTCTGATTGCAAATAATCCGTTTTTCTTTTTCACTTGACACTTCAATCAATGGTTTTCTCCCCTCAAATGTTGTTCTACAAAGTTCTGTCGACCAAGAGTTAGAGAACCAATACCTGCCCATTTACTTATATCAGTATATTCATTAATGTTCGTATGTCCTCATACATATGCACAAATAACAGCAACATCCTCATGCAACCATTATGTGCCAGCTAGTGAAAGGTGCATATCGTGTATCCCTTTATTTTTAGATTTGACTTTTCACTTGCTCTCTAATCTACTTCTTTGTGACCATCTGCAGCTCTAAGTGTATTTCCCTATTCATTAATTAATTAAAATTCTGCTTGAACATAAATGCATGTTATTATCCAGTAATTTAACTCCCAGAAATAACCTATTCTGATATTATTTATGATCTTTAATTATTTAGAATTTTGGATGCAAGAGCTCGGCATTGTTACATAGCCACTTTGGAAAAATCCCATATTTCTCCCCAAGTCTTTATTTGTGAAATGAGTCGTCTCAGTTCCTTGATGTGAAGACTAACTGCCATGAATGTCCTAAGTACATGTATGATTACCCTGATTAGATGCTGCTTTATGAATACCATTAACCGTTTTGTGATAAAAAAATTTTTTTTTTTTAAAACAAGACAAAACCAGAGATTTGCACTTCATCTCCAAACAGACTTTAATATTGTCAACCTCTAACACAATCCTGCTAAAAACTGAATTAATTGACAGAAAAAGGTGAAATCAATGCCTTTCAATACATATGTATATATATATTTTTTCCTCTTTACATATGTTTGGAATTACTGAACACGGTTTAGGAAAACGTTTCCAAAACAACTTCACAAAGTGACAAAGTCTTCAGTAGCGGACATTAACAGTTGACTGTTCATCAGTAAAATCAGTTAGGGCATATTAAGTAGCTGCTGTACTGTACTAAAGTGCAATAACATCTTCAGTCTCTTTTTGTGTGGAAAAAATAATCACTGGAAACAATAAAAGGGATGAAAAAAAAGGTAGAAACTTAAGAGTTAAAACATAGAATGTTAGCTAAACAATTAAGACCAATGGTTAAAAATTAAGATTATATTGTTTTAAAAAAAGACAGGAAAGACTGAACAGAAACTGAAATCTCTGTAATTGAAGGGACATAACGTCGAATCAGGATGTCTACTTCAAATTTGTGTAAAGTTGAAAATATAAATATATAAAGCTATCCTATGTGTAAAAGGATGATTTATGGTAACACGGTGCGCAGCTCAGAAAAAGAAACTGTATCCGGATTAAATAAAAATGATCAAGAAAAAAAATTAAAAGTGCTTCACTGCCCTTAGATTCTCTATCAACAAAACCAGTTAATATCACAGTTACTGTACTATTTCATTATTTACACATAAATATTTGCAACATCACGTTTTGCTATCTTCGTTTTCAGTGTTCTCCTTTTAAGTACACTTGAATATAAAATGAAATTCAGATCAACCACACAGTCCCTCCACTCGGGTGACAAGCAGCAGCAGAGACGAAAACCTTCACGCTGTCCTAAATATTTCATTTTGTGCCATTATGAGTGTATCAATGCACTGAGACACTCTTATTGCTGTCTGTTTAACATTTTCACACACAAAACGCTAAAATATCCAGATTAAAGCTGTGATCTATAGGTTTGATGAAAACCAGGAGGACGAAAGGCGTTTTGCCTCATATTTCACTTCACGAATCAACGAGCACGACGCCCAGCGACAGCTCGAGCGCAGGCGCGCCGCTCCGAAATTGAATCAACATTCAAATTGTGAGCGTCAACATTTACTTTGAAAGCAGAAATTAAATGGTTGAATCTGTTATGAGCAAGAAGCAGACTTGTTGACACGCTTGATCTTAAACATTAAGGATTAGAGGGTAAATCGAATACATTTTATCAGACAATACGATGAGGCTGGTGCATTTTGGGAGATCGTGAACAGCTACGCAAAAAAACAAACAACACAACCAAACAAAAACATCAGGGCTCAAACTCCTCCTTCCACATTTCTTGCAAAAATTTTCATTTTTCATTGGTACAAATACAAATTTGTTTGATTACACAACAAATCTATAAGGTATCTAATACACCAAATAAAGAATATTTATGATTCAATGAATTTCTCTTCTGAAGGTAAAGAAAACCCCAAACCTGCATATAGAATGAAATTTGCAGCTAATAGAGACTCAAAATAAAGGATTCTTAAAATAACCAAACCAGACTTTTTCAGGCCAAATTACAATAAGAGCAGGGGCATCATCATAACGAGCGAATTTCACGTCATGTATTTTACACTTATTACTCAACGAGCCATGTGTAGGTGTAGTACACCTAATACTACGAATAAAGTAGCACCGCAATTCAAAGGCAAACCCTGTTTTGTTATCGTTGAAATACGACAACAACTACATCCTTTAGAAACAAAATACCTTTAGTCAGAACCACGGAAGCGTTTCAGTGCAGGTGTGGTCTGAATCTGGTGTAAGGAATATCAACTGTGTGAACTATTAAAGATGTTGGAGTGTGATTGAACTTTGACTCGCTGTGGTGCTGTGCTGGGGAACATCCAATCAATTCTTTGCAAAATAACAAACGTAAGGAATGCACAACAAACAGAAACTCATATAATATATGTTAGTGGCTCACTGCGTCTAAGCAAACCTTCTACACAGTAATGCCGTCTGGATGAATTATGCTTGACAATAGTGCTTCTGAGGAAAATGCATAATAACCTGGTGCCAAATGCAACTGAAACGCTGAACCCAGAGGCCCGTGGACTGAGAACAAGCAGCAGAAGAAGACAAGGATAAGTGTTTGAGAGGCAGTGAGAAGGGTTTCTGAGAACTGACAGCAACGTTACTACAAAGCTCGGTGAACAGTGTATCTACATTGAGGGTGAAATCCACGTGCACTTGTTCCTGAGCAAATCTCTGCTGGAAATGTGGCGCTGAGGAAGATGATCGGATGAAGCTACAGACATTGAAGAGAGTTTGACGTCAGGCTGGATTCCACACTTTTAGCCGATGTCAGGTAGGTCACTTCTTACCATCTTCTCATTTTCTACACGGCTGAGGGAAAACGGGCCAGTTCGGCTGCGATCAGAAGATGTCGGGGCAAATTTCCCAGCTGCCTTGGTCCTTCGCCTCCCAGTAACCCCCCTTGTAGACGTGCAAGGTCTCTCCGGATACGGGGTCATCTAACTTCTCAAACCACAGGGCTTGGTAGTTGTCTTGATGGGCACCTGAAGGAAAAGAAAGATCTTTTATCGAGATGGAAGGGAGCCACGGCAACACATCACTGCTTAAAAGAAGCTGCTATGCTCTCAGGTGGGTGAATAAGGAATGAACGTAATAACATTAACATAATAGTGCACCATATCTAAAGGTTCAGTGTGTACGTCTTCACTAATGGGTTTCATCTAAATTGTACAAATTGTCATTTTCTTTACCCTAGAACGAGCCCTTGTATTTAAATACCATACATTTACATTAGGAGCGGCTCCTCTCTACAGAGGCTGCCATGTTTTTTACAGTAGCCCAGACTGGACAAACTAAAGAACTTTCTAATGACAACTGAAGCTACCACAGGTTCTCCGTCATGTTTGGAAGGGGAGGGTGAGGTGAGGGGTGTTCAGCTGCAACATGCAACCTCACCGCTAAATTCTACACACTGAAGCTTTAAAGCAAAACTGGTCTGCACTAGAGCCCAACCGATATATCAGCTGGCCGATGATATCTGTATCAGTGTTTGTTTGCCGATATGAAACCTTATATTTTACACAATCTGCCCCCAAAAATCGATATCAGCTGGGCTCTAGTTAGGACTCGCTAAAAAACAAAGCAATTCATTCCTCATCATGTGGAGCATTAGACTGTTTGATAACCTCCCGGGACCAGAGCATTGTGATCAGTGCCTAATAGGTTACTACTCTAAAACACAGTATTACAAAGCTTGGCTTGTTCTACACATTCTACCATTAGTGGCATCTAGTCTCCACTGATACACGCTTACGCAAAAAAGAACGAAAGAGGGACAATGGAGATCGGGACTGATGTTACTTGCTTTTGACTGAAGCTCCATTAGCACCGTCCTTTCCTTCCACTAAGAGAGAGTAAGTTGAAAAAGGACGTAAAGAGGAAATGATGGATGATGAACGATTTTTTTTCTTGTCAAATAAAATCTGGAATTTACTAAATTACTAGAAAATCGGAGAGAACTGCTCTGTATTGAATATCGAGACCAGAATACTTGCTTAAAAGGGGGAGGAGTGATGGTCCATGAGGGGCTGAAATAGAATGAAGGATGAAGGAATGAATGTTTGGAGGTTATGAAATACAAGAGTGGCTATGACCGACAAGTGGTCAATGACACAAAGGAGAACAGTAAGTGAAAATGTAAGGAGCTACTTGCATGCAACAGGTGTATGAGGGGGAGAGTCCTCTGTGTCAGCTGAGCAACACCAGCACAAAAAGAAGACGTAAATCCACAACTCAGAGAATGAAATGCCGGCAATTTGTTGTTTGTGGACATTTTGAAAGTGCTGTTTGTGGCATCTTAAGCACAAGAGACATGTTTCTTTTACATCACATCACATCCCTCAAATTTAAGGCCACGTTTCACATTAATGCCATTGCTTTGTGTTACAAAGTGTATCTTTGCTTCTTCCGGTTTTTTGTGACCTCTGTTTATGCTGACCAGCCCTCCGCCCATTTTTACTGTCATGCAATACCTTTAAATCTTCGTCAATGAGGTTTGTCTGCATTTGTCTGGTAATAATTGCGATTGAATTAAATTTTGGAACCCATTAGATTTTGGTGCGGATCCAGTGAATTGAACTTTCTGTGTCGGATGGGGCGTTTTCACAGTTTAGTTGATTTCTCTGAGAATAATTTGTGGATCTTGATTCAAACAACATGTGGTTTCATAGAGGGACTGGTGGAGATATGCACTAGTGCTTTTCAAGTTGTCATAAAACTAATAGACTGTTTCTTATTTAATCTATCTTAGAAAATGCAATGTCGTGTGAAGCCAATGTAACTCAAACGCTGTTCAGTGCTGGCCTTGGTTGTTTGAAGGAATTGTACAAACACTTCACAGCACACATTGTAAAAATATAATGATGTCAAATGGCCGATGACTTTTGTCAATGTGTGACGTAACTTTATCCACCAGGAAGATGAGCAGTTAAATATTCTGGCTCCAAATAGCGACTTGTTTCTCTACAAATACCTGCAATTGTTTGAGTAACTATGGAATCTTTAGAACAGAGAAACGGGCGTCTGTGGATATACTAAGGTCATGTCTTCCTCACAGTGTTGTTAAAATGCCACTCAAAGCACTGTTAAAATGTACACGTTATGTTGAACAGCGGTGATACTTGCTTTCATCAGTAACCTCACTTGCTTCTGTGCCAGTCTCCTGTGCATCAGCTAAATGAGACAAACGAATGGAGGGACAGTAAAATGTGAATGAGACGTTATTAAAACAACGTCGAAGATATTTACTGAAGCACCTTCCCATAACACACGCAAACAAACAGGTGTGTGTGTGGTAAAGATTCTTGAATCAACATAACTAGGGTGGGGAGAGACTAAGCGGAGAGTACTTGCTTTTCAAGGGTGAGTCATTGACTGAATCCTCAGTGACAGCTTAGGGTTGAGACAGAGACAAGCAGACAAAATATACCGAGACAGACAAAGTGGACAAAAGATGAATGGACAGAAAAACATTGGACAGAAACACAAAACAAATAAATGAACTCCAAACCAAGTGGCCCTCTTTCTTTTCCTACCTTCCTCAGGTGAGCAGGCGACTTTAACGGCTTCCCTCTCCCTTTCTCTACGGGCCGTGCGCTGTTTTTCTTCTAGCCTCTGTTTCTCTGCGTTAGCCTCGTCCCAGCGGCCGTCCTCCATTAACCGCTGGTCAGGGCGACGACGACTGTCTGTTGGCGCCACTCCCTCCTCAAATTCATTGAGAGTCAAGGCCAGTGTGGAGAAGAAGTACATGTTCTCTGCTCCCTCTCTGGAAAGTCATTACGATAAAACGATCAGATGCACAAAGCCAAACTACAGCTCTGTTTGTTTAAAAGCACTTTGCTTTAAAAACAGCAACTCACGGTAATGGGTTCTTTCTCCAGATTTCTTTGGCTTTGAGGGTCTGATACACAGTCCTCTGTTTGCCCTCTGTGCCGTTCTCGCCTTTACTGCTCTGCATTACCCGAGACAACTCCATCTTCTCGTCCCATGTTCCTGACAGCACATAGTGGGCCTTTCCATCCTTATCTGTTACTACTCCGGTTACCTGAGAGACAAATACAGCTGTCAGTAATCAATGGAATATTAAACAATCTGACAGAAGGCAGCACAAGACTTTATAAAATGAACAAGTGCTCTGGTTTAACATACAGGAAGTTCTATACCATAAAAGAAAAAGACAAAATACAAAATCCCACCTTTCTGGGTACATCTCTGGAGAAGTAACTGTAGGGAGCAAACTTGAGGTGGCAGCGATCTCCTGTCTTGTGGTTCACCACATCTATCTCCCCTGACTGGAGGCAGAGAGCGACAAAATGTTTTGCTGGCAGACGACTTGGTGTATGAAAGCATCTATATCACTTATTGTTTCTAAATAATTTTACAATCACCTGATCGATCCACAGTTTCCCCACAATAATGTTGTGGACTGTTGTAGTTACTTTTTTCCAAGAGTAGTGATTGTCGCTCTTATCAAACAAACACTGGATAGAACCTGAAAACAGAGATTTTCATTTGAATCCTGCAAAATTAAAATGTTTTTGACTTTTTTTTTTCTATAACAACATAAGTTATAAAATAACATAAATACAATGAATACAAGTATTTTAACATGTACACGGTGACAATGTACACTGATTAATGAACAGATTAAAACATTAACTCACCCAGGGGCATGATAGAGAGATATTTTCCTCTAAACTTGCTGGCCAGACTTATTTCCTGTCTGAGTGTCCAACCCTTCTCAGAGATGGCATGATGAGCTGCAGCAGGTGGGTGGTGACTCACCTGAGAAGAGACCAGATGTAACAAAGTTAGTCAAAGGCTTGAACCTAGTCACGAAAACAAATATGCCTGTTTACACACTACAACCATATTTATTTTTCAGAGGTGGATTGTGGATCTATGCAAGACTTCAAGTCTCAATTGAAACAGTTAGAAAAAGCAAACAAAGCTTGTTAACTGCAACTGTGTTTCGTGGTTAGTCGTGTTATTTCATCATACCTGCTCACACAGGGAGCGGTAGCCACACTCTCTGAGTCGATCGAGCTCAAAGGTTTCTCCCAGCAGTGGATTGAAGGGTTTCCCTGTGCGGTGGACAGTCGTGGAGTAGGAGGAGACCGTGAAAGCGGCGACGTAACACATCTGCTCCAGAGAACTCTGACATTTAGCACCCTTGTCCAGCAGCTCGTAGTATTCCAGGTCTTCGGACAGACGTTGCAGCATGGAGAGGGGCTCATTGAAATTTACCTGGCAGGTGCGGGACCACATAGAGAAGGAGTTTGGTTACTTCTGATCTTTCTCAAAGAAAAGCCACCATATGTGTCAAAATGTGTACAGGTTTCTTACAGGCATTGGTATCTTTGAGAGCTCCTTTCCAATGCAATTCTTCATGATGCTCCACAGATTGAGGTAATAGTTGGGCTTGTCAGGAATATGAGTCCGTCTCTGTCGAACTGGCTCTAGCTCCAGAGACTGAGGAGACTCCGGATTAGATGCCAAAGACAGTTCATCAAACTGAAGGAAGAAAAGGAAAACATTGTTGAGGGTAAGGTGACTTTGACATGATGACAAGCAGAGACAACATGTGAATACAAATACAAACTTTAAATCAAACTCAACACACATTCACAGACTGATCGTCAATCCCAGTCTCACTGCTGAACCCACTAAGATTACTGCCAGATCTTCTGTGGAAGAGAGAAACAAGACAACAGATATTTCAAAACTCAAAAAATAAATAAAAGATACAAAAAAAAAGATCAACAAAATCCCTGACATTTGAAAAATGAAAGACAGTAAATAACCTGTGATACTTGGGGTCAGCAGGGACAGTTATAAACTCTGCTGGATCTTCCATAGCATCAAAGAACTCATTGTCATCATCCTCGTCACTGGCATCCCCCTTTCCTGAAACACCACCTAAAGTGAAGATAGACAGTGACAATGAATGACTATGAGGCCCAATTGGTCTCGGAATGGCAGAGGTCTGTGTCATGGTCCAAATACGAAAGTTCAGCTGGGGTTGAGAGCCCTACCTTTGTTACCTAAAGCGGGATTGCTGAATGAAGAGGGGAGAACAGTAGCTCCTCTGAAAGCTCGCTCCAAATGGTTGTGCTGTTTAGCCAGCTGCTCCAGAGTCTCCTCCAACCGTATCCTCTGGTCTCTCTCAGTCATTAAGGCCTTCTGCCAGCGCTTACTGTGGGTCTGGGCCATGCCGAGGAAGTCTCGACATGCCTTGGGGAGCATGCAAACACAACAGCAACATGTTAGGGAAAGGGCCGACAACCGTGTGGTGTGTTCTTACATGATTCACGCTGGGGAGACATACGTTGATCATGGCATTAGAGGTGATTCGGAACAGTGTGGCCCTCTCTGTGACTTGTCTGATCTTCTCCCCCATGTCGCCTCCAACACGAATCCCCTCCAGTTCTGACAAAGACCTGTGTGTTAAGAAGAGAGGAATAAATTATGAGACAAGCACATCAAATATTTAAATTACCATCACTCCTCTTTTTGTTGGATAATTCTTTCTAACGTGGTCAAACTGCTCAGATAACTGATACCTTTGAAGGGCAGAACCATGCTTGACAATGAGATCGTTGCAGGTGGTGAGGTCCTCCACCTTGCTGCCCATTGTTCGAAGTGTGGACTGGATTTCTGAGTTACGGCAGCCCCCACCCTGTCCTGCGGTGGGTGGAGCTGTGGAACAATCGTCACCGGAGTCATCTGAGGAAGAAGACGGGAAAGATTATATGACAAATTTTGCACAAAGAGAAATCCCACACTGTGCCTGACACAGATGCTGCTTCATTAGCTGAACAGGATTTTCGTATTATGTCTCCCATCAACGTTTCTGCTCTCTCACCAGATTCGGCCTGCATGCGAACAGCCTTTGCTTTGGCAAGCTCGAGCGCCGTGATCCATCGCTGTCGCTCCACCTCTGAGCTGGCCTTCAGGTGGTAGGTTTGCGCTCCGCCGTTGGAAATGACAAAATTGCACGAGTCCTCCACAGCAATATTGGCCGTGGCCAAGTTGATGGTGCCTCTGCATGTGTGACCCATCTCTGCCTGGGTCCTGATGGCAAACGAATGATGAATGAGTGAAGGACATTAAAACACAGAGATCTAAATAACTGATGTGTGAAATCAGGAATATTATCCAACCATTTCATTTTCATAAGGCTGCTGAAATCACAATAAGTAGATATGACTTACCTGTAATACGACAGCAGTCCATTGCTCAAAACAAACCAGCGTCTCTGATAACCTTTTATGTAGTTAGTCCATTTGAAGAGCCAACCCTTGTACGTGTCTCCAGGGGTCGGAGTCGGGGGCTTCGGCTCTGACATCACAGCAGCCTGTGGTTTCACTGGGTGAGTTTACAGCCTGAGGGAGAAAAAAAAACAATATACAAATCAATAGAAACACATTCATATTAGTGTTAAACATACTGCTCTGTTTTCATACATGTCTGTACAAACCGGTCTGGTGACACATCGATGCCAAAACTATTTCACTTGACTGACAAGGTCATTAATGCCATCTTATCATTAGCATACAAGAAGTAAAGTTGTGTTGGCTGGAGGACTTTGGGAAGAAAATAGCAAACGTCAACAAACTTGAATTCCTAATAACAGCTGACCACAGAATGTTTGCAGCAATCATTTTAATTTGTAGTACAAATGTTGAGCTTGACAACTGTTGTTTACTTAACGTCACAGCTACGAAGGTTAAGTAAAAGATGACACACTAGATATAAAGGTTGTGTTATTAGTATCGAGCCATGTTCTCAGATTTAAGTTCGAATCTACCGAATAGAAAACAAACAAACAAGCGATGGTGAGCACACACGACTCTGAACTGTGCAGCTGAGGTTTCATGCGTCTCAGCGAAAACTGTGAAAATAGAGGAAAAACCCACGAACGACACCCGTGAACCGATCGCACCGGTTTCTCGTCCGCACCACGAACCCGCAGCCTGGATATCACGAGCAGGACCAAGAAGCCATTTCCAACCAGCGAAACTGCTAATACCGTCCGTTGCTAAGCTCGCTGCTGCGCTAGCTAAACAACAGGAAGCTGTCAAACGAGCTGACACGTCGAGGACGAAGCGAACCGACGCATTTAACCACTTTCTCTCCGTCTCCCGGTTTTTCACCGAGATTAACAATGTCAGATACGTTCGTGTTATTTCCAGACACTCACCTTTTTCCGTGCAAGACTTCAGCTGAGCATGTCGCGTCGGGTGAAGCGGCCGATAGCTCGCTGGCTTTAGCTTTGGTGCTAACTACTTTGGCTGTGCGACAGAATAGCGGTCGATCCGCCCCCTAGCCGTCAACTTTAGTTCCGCTCTATAAAATAAATGTTCTGCAGCTCTCAACTAGAAATAATAATAATACTGATAATAATGATGAAAATAATCATCATTATTGTATTTTATATCATTATTATCACATCACTTACCAGAAGTCATTCTCACAGTATCAGCTTTATCGGTTATTCTAATAATCTGTGATCATATCTTTGTTTTTGAGTTGAGTGCATTGCATACAGGGAAGCAGATTATCTAATTAACTAAATTTCAGATTAATTTAATGCTATTGTTTGAACAGATTTTTATAAATAAATTATGTAAAATAAGAGGGAGACTGTGCAAGTTGTTCAATGCATTGTAAATTAAGAAAATACATGCAAGATGCAAGTAGACAAAACTTAAAGAGTATACATCATCAATTTGTCAACTGCAAAAAAAAAAAATCACAGCACATGTTAATACAGAAAGTTATTGGGGTCTGCTACTCGTCAGTGGTGATGGAACTTCACAAAGCATTAAAGCCACGTTTATCTTTCTGAAGTTGTTTTTTTCTATTTGCATGTGTTGACCTCTCTCAGCCACCATTTTGAGTTATAACAAGGCTGCTGTGTTGGATTAAAAAAAAAATCCACCCTACTTTATGAAGTGATACTGTAAACATTTGTAGTAGGAAAGTGTATTTATTATTAGATTGTATTGAGTCAGTTAAAAGCCTGTGGATCACAACACTGATTTAGAAAACATGAATACTTCCTGTGAAATATTACCTAGTGTTATTAAATGTATAATATTAAGTGAAAGAAAAGTTTATATTGGTTGTATTGTAGGTTTTAAAAACAAAATTGCACCATTTACAATTCTATAAAGCTTAGACAATTTCAAACACAAAAGAAAAAGACATTTCTCTTATTTGTATTCATTTTATTCAACAATTCTGCACAACAAGGCTTGCATGAACTAGGACATGCAGTTACTTTACTTAAAACATACTGTGTGAGAAAGTGTGTTTTTGCACTTAAGCTAATTCACTCTTCCCCATTTACTTATTTAGTGATGGTGTTTGCATTCATACTTTTCCCACTCCCACTTAGCACAATATATGGTGTTTTCTGAGATTTCTGTTTCTCTTGAAGCAGAGCCACAGTCCCCAGAGGAGTGTCACTGCTGCTCATCTTCTTCAGCAGTGCCTCCTCCTCAAGCTTCTTCATCCTCCTCTCCGTCTTCATCTTTCCAGACCCTTTCCCATGGAATCGGTGTGAAAGTTGCCGGAACGCTTCTTTTGGAGTGAGTCTCCGCCCAGACTCGTCCACATACTCAATCTTGACATCAGGCCTGTAACTTTCCTTCTCCTTGAAATCTTGTGTGAAGCCTCTGTATTCTTCTCGGCGACTGTACTTGTCATCAAAGCCCATTTTGTCCTCAATGCAGTAGTTGTCATTGGGCAGGGCGCCCTTTGTTGCTTTGACGCGGGCCACCTTCTGCATTTGAGTGTCCAACAGACCTTTGTTCTTGCACAACAACAAGGCAGCAGCAAGGCCGGAGTTGACAATGGGCTCTTCATCTAAAATGGTGGCAGAGGCTGTGGCGAAGTCAGGTTGTTTTATCTCCTCATCCAAGTTAACTGTGCTCCATCCAACATTTTCATCAATTTCTGAGTCTGAGCCTCCAGCATCATCCTTCTCTTCCTCCTGTTCGAAGTCCATAATTTCTTCTTGGTCCTCTCTGTTGCCGGACAGTCCGTAAGTTGGAATGTCACCCAGAGTTCTGCAAAACTCTGATGTGGCGTTGAAAACAATGTTGTTCTTCCTGTCAGGATCATTGTCACTCTCGCCTTTATCAAGCTCTTTAATCTGCTGTGCCACCTTCTCTCCAGAGTCTTTGAGGAGCTGCTTTTGCCTCAGCTTCCTCTGCTTCTCCAGTTGTTTCTGCAGCTCCTGCTCAGCCTCATCCTCCTCAATTATAGCTGATTCGGAGAGTGTGAAACCTTCATCATCGCTTATGTCCATTTCTGCCATTCTGATGTCATCGGACAACTGGAGGATATTGTGTGGCAGTTTGCTCTTCTCCTCCTCCTCCTCCGCTTCCTCCTCCTTTACTTCCTCGCCATCAGCATCCACCTTTTTGCGGCCCCGACCACGTGCTCTGGAGCCAAAGTCAGAACTGCGGGTATCGTCGATGCGAAGTTCATCTGCAGCTGTCTGCTTCTCCTTCTTTCTGATCTTCTTCACCCGGCATTTTGTCTTTTTGAAGCCCACCATCTCCTGAGGTGTGTAATACTCTGAGGCGATGCTGAGGGCAGGCATTTCCAAGGTCTGGGCCTGATTTCGCAGAGACTCTCTCATGGCCTGGATCTCCCGCTCTCGCTCCCCATCCGCAAAGCCCCCAGTATTCAACCGGAAGCTCTTTTTCTTTTCGCCCTCAATTTCCTCGTCATACTTTGAAAGAACAGAGCGAGACTTTAACGTAATCATATCATCCACGCTCTCTTCTTCTTCGTATGGCTTGTAATCTGGCTTTTTCTTTTTCAATTCTACGTTCTTTTCTGCCTTTTCCTTGTCCACCAGCCCAACATTTACAAGCACATCTTCCTCCTCCTCAAGCACACCTTTGTCCTGCAAGGTCAGGACGACGGTCTGACCCTCGGTGAAGGAATCCACCTTGTGCTGCACCTTGAGTCCCTTCAAATCTCGACACGTGTAGGAATCATTCTTGCTTTGAGCGAACTCCTCCTCTACCAGGCTGCTCACACCGAACTCCTGGTCCATCTCCTCCAGAAGTTTGGCTCTTTTCTCTGCCAATTCTTTTTCCTTTGCCATGTTTCTGCTTCTCTCCACCCAAGCAGACGTGTCGTCCAGCCAGTCATCCTCAGCCAGGGTCTTCACTTTCCCCAATTTCTGGTTCAGGATACGTTTTTCCTTCAAAGCGGCAAGCTTCTCTCTCATATCTTTCTGCTGCTTGATGAGGACCGGATTAATGGTCGCGGCCACCATCGGATCCTCTTTGGTACCGAGCTCCTTCTTGTTCTCGTTCAGCTCCAGAGGCTTCAGGCCCAGCTTGGCCCGGAGTTTGTTGGTGTCCTCGATGCTGAGGGACGCGTCTCCGCTCGCAGACTGGGGCTGCACTTCCGTGTTGCTCTCCTCATACGCAGTGTCAACCTTCTCCTTCTTGATCCGGGGCTCGCCGCCGCTCTTTTCCCCTTTGCTGCGACTCTCTCGCCCGCTTCTATCCCTGGACCTGGAGCGCTTTCGCTTCTCCTTGGCCCGATTTCCATCTCGCTCCGAGGCGTCTCGCTCCTTGTGTCGGTGTTTCTTGTGTTCACGACGCCGGTCCTCTGTGTCCTTATCGCGGCTCTTTTCCTTGTGTTTCTTCGAGGACCCCATTGTGTCCCCGGCTGGTCACAACAAGAAAAACAAAACAAAACCACGGTTTAAAAAAAAAATCGTTAGCTTCCCGTTGCTAACTAGCTCCCATTAGCCGCGGAGGCTAAGAGGCTAACTGACGCTCAAAATGGAAACTTGAACTCAAACTCCAACTACTGATCGAGCGCGTGAAGCGATGTGGGCAAAGTTGCTCGGCTGTTTGATTTCCTCTCTCCACTTAAACCATCCGTGCTCCGCGTACAAGTGCGCAAGTTGGACACTGCGACGAACGCACGGCTTACGACAATAACACCGTTTCCTTCCGGTTGGAGGGGGGGGGTTTAGAAAGCGGCTAACGTGGAGCGCCGCCTGCTGCACGGGAGTGCGTACATATCCCGGAGTTGCTGCATTTGGGGACCGATCGAACGTGTTTTATTTATCCGATGTCTCCGACCTGACTCTGCGGGAATCGGTGAAGCCTTCACCGCTGTTTGTGACGCACTAACCCGCGCTGTTCGCTCCCCTTCCTCTGAATGGTAACACCGACCCTTTCCGACAAGCTAACTTTAGCTAGCACATTTGTGTTTTTTTGTTGTTGTTGTTTTGTAATAACGACACTAAAAGGCTGTAATTCCATCAACCTGCTGTGGTTTGTCGTTAGCCACGCGATGCTAACGCTGGTCAGTCACCCCCCCCGGTTGTTCGTAGTTTTAGCGCGACAACCTCGCTAATCGGACCCGCTGTAAATTAGCCTTTATCCTGCTTACAACTTTTACCGTGACATTTAAAGTTAGCACCGAGCGGCTGTTAGCGAGCTAAGTAGCGTTAGCCCGGGCTACACAAACACAGGCTCGGCTACTACTTTTGGCGACTCGTTAGCATGAAGGTGCCTGAGATTGATGAGTTGTGTGGATCGATGTTGTTGTTGGTCGATAACCAAAGTGGCGCTAACCAGTGGACTGGCCGGGTCGATGGGGGTGGGGGGTTAGCCCGAGTTGCCATGGGGATTGCGTGAACCAGGTTCGGCTCTGGATGGAGTTGCGAAGCTAGTTTGAAGTTTAGCAAAGCGACAACTTCACCAGTCACCACAGGTTGACTCTTAGCTCGTAGCTACGCGTCCTGACAGGTAAGCTAACGGTTAGCCGGCGTGTGTTACGGGGATAAACAACCCCGCTGCGTGGTGGAGGGAACGGGTCATTGTTGTGTTCACACCCGGGAACCTCAGCGGGCCACACACAGACACACACAGAGACACACAGACACACACAGACACAGATAGACACACACAGACACAACAACAAAACCCAACTGCTGCTAACGATCAGCTCACAGAAAAACGTGTTTCTCTGAAGTGTCGTCGTTGGCTGTCGGTAAGAAATGATGCTTTCACAGGTGATTGCATTAGCTCTGACTGTAGAATATACAAGCTAACTGCTTCTAGATAAGATAAACCTTGTTTAATGTTATTTTGCCCAGTGGCAGTGAAGTGTTTCCCTCTCATTGTTCCCTTATCTCTAGCTTGAGTGGTTCTCTTCAGTTCCCTGAGCTGTTTATCCAAAAAACAAAATGCACAATTTCATCAAGCAGATGCTCGGATATGTTACTGTGATTAGTCTTGCAGCCTTTTAAGAATTTTTAAAGCTGCGTTGGGGAAAATGGTCTCTATAGTAACATCTTTTGGAAAAATAGAGCAACGTTAGCGGACAAAAAAAGACATCCAAGAATCTGTATTACTTTACTAAGTAAATAAGAGTGAGTGGAGAGCAAGATGAGCTATAAGGAGAGTAGCACTGCAGAGTAAATGGATTGCACATTAATGTAAATATGTTCATCTTTGAAATTAAAATGCATTAACAGAAGTTGGGTGTCAGGTTGTTAAATGTTTTTAAGTTGCCTCAGCAAACAAGAACTATCTTGCTAAGCAGACTGACAGGTTCCTTTATTGTCATTGCGAAACAAAGTACAACAAAATTAGTAGCAATCCACACGTGCATTTACACGACGTTCTTTTGTCAAATGTTTTTAATGTGTACTTGGGAAAGTTGTTGTGTGTTCTGTCTTTTCTGTGTGCGCTGACCACTGTGCTTTTTTGTTGTGAATTCCCAGCAGTAACTGTGTGTCATGGCAACCGGAGGTGCTCCTTTCGATGACAGTTCAGAAGAGCTACACAACTGGACGGTAACCAATGGCAGTCTGGAAGATAGACTCAACAACATGGTGAGGGCTGGATTAGACCCTCGTGGAAACTATTAAGAAATGGCAGTTTCATTTTAAAATATTGTTACGCTGGAGGGACTCCTCAACACTTTCAGCTTTTACTACACAACCATTATTACTGGAGCTGTGGCTGTCATAACTTATTGATGCCACAGTATGTCTGAAGTGAACAGTAAACACATTTTGTCACAATAAAAGTAAACACATATTGTAATAAACCATTTTCTTCTTTCGTTGTTGTTCAGGACTGGGGTGTGCAGCAGAAGAAAGCCAACCGCTCATCAGAGAAGAACAAGAAGAAGCTGTCAGCTGCAGTGGTGGAGAGCCGCCTGACTAATGATATTTCACCCGAGTCCACCCCCGGGGCCGGTCGCAGGAGAGCACGCACTCCTCATTCTTTCCCACACATCAAATACACCACCCAGATGTCTGTGCCAGACCAAGCTGAGCTAGACAAGCTGCGTCAGAGGATCAATTTCACAGACCTGGATGAGGTAAACATCTGCTGTATCCCATTAGAAGTATTTTGTTTAGTTCATTGTGGTCAATTTATGTTCCTGGAATACAGAAATAGATTTTTATTTGACATACATATGCTTGAGGGACTTACATGTAGCTTTATTTCATGATGTAACTGGCTCCATTTGGTGCTGTAGACTGCTGACAGTCAGTACAGTAACACAACACAATTAAAAATCTGACAGGAAGCTTTGTGAGAAAAGTGTGATCTTGTTGGGTGTATATTTAGAAATAAATTAAATCTGTGGAGTTTTTGACTAAAACACTGTAGGGCAACGTTTTAATGAGCACATCCTGATCTATACTGTATTAATGTACCCGCTCTGCACAAACAGTAGTTTATAACACAACGCTCATCCCGCAGATGCGTAACAAGTAATATTTCAGCAAATAAATGCCAACAACTGCTGCTGTGATCCTCCAGCAGTCAGCAGAGGAAGTGATATCAGAATATTTTTCATAGTTTAGCATGGAGTCGTGTAGTTGACCTTGTTCTGTCCCAGCAGTTGAAAAATAGCAGACAGAGCTGTTCAAGAATGGAAGGACATGCAAACTTTGCTGAGGGGTGAACAACAGAGTGAATCTTTGGGAGAATATTTAAGCCTCCTCCTTGATGGACAAAGCTGAAGTCAGAGGACATTTTCAATCAATTCATTGTCATATCATTTTTTTTTTTACTGGATTAGTTATATAATGTTTAGCTGCATATGTATAGATGGAAAACAAAACAAGATTATTTGTAGGTCACCTCAAGGCCAATGTATTTTTCCTTCAGGCTTGGAAGTAGGTGGAGAGGTTACAGTGAGCAGTTTGTTGCAATATGCAACTTCACCACTAGACGCCACTAAAACCTTCAACAAATACAATTCTATTTCTTTCATTTTGGCTTCAAATCTATTAAAATGCAATTACTTAAATAAATTGTAGAGGCCTGGTACAGAAACATGACAGTAGCAAAACCTTAATAATGAGAGGAACAATTACAGTATCTGAGGTTTTTGAAAGAATGAGGAGAATAGTGAGCTGTGATTTGTCTAAATCATCTTTATTCTTATTTAGAGGAGCATCGGCAGTGACTCCCAGGGGCGTGTCACTGCTGCCAACAACCAGCGGCAGTTAGCTGGAGAGAACAAGAAGCCCTACAACTTCCTACCTCTGCATGTAAACACTAACAAGAGCAAGACGCTGCTGCCTCCCTCCTCCTCTGCCCCAGCCACTCCAGCCATCACCAAGGAAACCAAGAAGCAGAGCCCAGCACTCAGGGATACGTTAACCCCTGTGATTCCTACCAAGGAAACTCCAAGGCTCAGCCTTGGTGGTGCAGAGAGAGGGCCCTTGGTGCACAGAGCATATGGGAGAGAGGAGCCACAAGTAGACAGCAGCCAGGTAATATTTTGTCCTGTAGTTTCTAAAGCTTGGTCTTAATGTCTTGTTGTCTGTTGAGGATTCCGTGGAACAATCTTTGTCTCAAATATGCACAATTGTTTAACAAAGTTGGCTCCAGTCCATCAAGCAGATGCTGAGATATTTTACTGAATAACCAAAACAATCTGATTTACTTTTTATGATATGAGTCTTGCTGCCTTTTACAAAAAGATACCTTCATTTTAATTTAACAACAAAGTTGTTAGTAGCAATTCACATGTGCACTCACACATAACAGACAATACATATAGATATTAGCTGTATAAAGTTTTAACAGAGAAACAGCTGGCTAGTTCAGGGGGTCTTGAGATGTGTAACATCAGCAAATTTACATAGATGGCTGGTCTGACTGTTAATGAAGTGTAGTAAGTAACTGGCATTGATGAAACCCCTGTAATTTTATACAAAGACTCAACTAAATATTAGTGATTGAAATGAATCAATTCTAACATGTACATATAGTTTATGTCTGTGTATCACTGCTCTCAGACTTCTACTGTGAAACCAGAACTAGGATAAATGTGAGCGAGAGGTGGTGCAGCTGAAACTGTATTTAGGGCAATTTATAAATATGCCATCCTCGGTGCCCAGTGAGTTTTGTGCCCAACCCCCTCTCTGCTCTTGTTTAGCCGAGTCTGAGCCGTCGCTACAGATGCTCGCTCACTTTTCCTTACATCCGTCTTTGTCCTCTCCTCATGTGCTCCTCTGAAACCCACACCCATACTCCACCCTCCTTTCTTTGCATGGTCTCAGGTGGTGAGCAAACTGATCCAGATCCGGGAGTACATCAGCAAGGCCAGCTCCATGCGGGATGACCTGGTGGAGAAGAATGATGTGCCGGCCAACGTGGAGCGTCTCTCTCACCTCATCAACCACCTCAAGGAGCAGGAGAAGTCTTATTTACGGTTCCTGCAGAAAATGCTGGTAAGTTTATCAACTGTGTCTCTGTCTTAAAAGCTCAGTTTCTAATGAGAATCTACTTTTGTGCCTTACTACTGACTCTATCAGACAAATCTGTTTAATCTTGGCTAAATGTGCTGTGTCATGTGTAAAGTATGTTTATAAGCTAACTAACAGCTCGAGTGCAACCTGTTCTTCTTGGTATCCAGGCAGCCTGCCACACATATATGTTTAATGAATGTCTTTCTCTGTGGCCTGAAACACCCAACAGGGGAGTCATGTTTCACGGGATGATAGATGTGGGACATAGCATGACACCGTTTTTGCTGTGGGGTAATTTGTTTTGATCACTGTAACTGGATTTAAGTATTTCTCTGAAGTACAATGTAGTTTTTAACAGAACTGTAAGAATTAAATTCACTGGCTCTTTTCAGTCTCTATACTCGGCAAACTTTTTTTGTTGTAGCTTTGTTTGAGTGAGGCTGTTGTCTCTGCTTTGTCTTTAGGCACGGGAGAATGAAGAGGACGATGTAGGGACCCTGGATTCTGCAGTGGGCTCAGGTTCACTGGCAGAGAGCACTTCTCTTAACATTGAGGTCCGCTCTTCTGATGCCTCAAATGCTATGGTGTGTATATTTGTTATGACTGATGTTAATGTTCTCTTTTGCATTGTCTGTTGACAGTGTTATTACAATTATAAATCCGTGTTGTCTTAATATTCTGAGGAAATGGAACCAAAGCACCATCTTGCCAATTTGCCCTTTTCACTGCACGTGTTTTGCTTATTTGCTTTGTCAATACCTGACTATTCCATACCATATAACATTTCTGCAGTGTTGCTCTTGTGGGTTTTGGTAGACTCAGTGTTTTATATGGTGTGTGTTCTTTTTTGTAGAGCGGTAGGCCAGAAGTTGTCCGTGCTGACCAGAAGGAGGAGTTGGAGAATCTGCGTAAGCAACACGAGCTGCTAAAGAAGATGCTGGAGCAGCAGGAGCAGCTCAGGGCCCTGCAGGGCCGCCAGGAAGCTCTGATGGCCATGCAGCACAGCGCAGAACAGGCACTGGCTGTGATTGAAGACACTGGTGAGAAACACACTAACTAACATAGTCCCTGACATGGTCTCAGACTAATGTTATGTGTTGAGGAAGATCAAGCAAGAAATGCATGTCCATCGTTCTGTGCTCTGACACAAAGGCACATTTAAAACAGGCAAAACATCACAGATATTGTTATTCAGTCAATATCAGTGTCCTTGTCCTTTTGCAGCCATACATGTCCAATCCAGTCCTCTTTCCATTAGGTGGATTTTAGTTTCATCAGTCCACACAACTGCAGCCTGTCCTCTCTGTTTTTGAGGTTAACTGAGGGCTTGCATCTTGTGGTGGATCCTCTGGTTATGGTCACGAGGCCTTCTCTTGATAAAGGAGTTTTTCTTCACCACACAGTTGATTGTCTTCTCATCCACAAGACATTCCTTTGTCTAACAGTTGTTTTCCATTTTCATGCATTTCTCATGTTTTTTTAGCGCGCACCCTCCTGACTTTGGCAAACCAACCAATCCTCATTTTGACTGACATCTCTGTCTCAATGTAAATGGAAACTTTCAACTCTGAGGCACATCTGATGTTTTTTGAGCAAGGACTAACATCAAAACAACACACAGCTGCCAAAGAGAAGCCAAGTCTCCAATTACTTGTGAAATCCTAACATTTAGCCGCTATGTGTTCAAAGGCGAAAATCTCTCACACAGTTCTTTCTATATTAATATATATCTATTCAAATTAAAGCTGAGAACTTTAATCAAGTAACCATTATTTGATTTCAGAAGCACTGAGGCTCAAAGCCTACAGAACAAAAGTTTTAACTATTCAGATTGACTGAACTTGACTGTATGTTTAATTCCTTTTGTACATTTTGTTCTTCACTAGTTGTCACAGAAACCACAGGCAGTGTATCCGGCCTGAGCATCACATCAGAACTGAATGATGAGTTAAATGATTTGATCCAGCGGTTCCACAACCAACTACATGACTCTCAGGTATAGTAGACACAGATGAATAATACCGTTATCATTTATGAAATATTTCATACAGTAATGTGTTTAAATATAAATGCATTTTGTACAATTTTGTGAAGACTCTGTTTGTAAGGTTCGCCTCTTGCCTCTGACAAGCCTTGTTGGTGCTTTAACAATCGTTATTTTATCAATAATTGTTGAATTAAATAAGGAAGTTATAGTTTTAGACTTTCATTATTTATGTCCTATAGACTAAAGCTGTGCCAGACAACCGTCGCCAGGCGCAGAGTCTTTCCCTCTCCAGAGAGCTGCGCTGGTCCAGGGCTCTCCAGGCCGTTGGCCCACCTCAACACAGGCCACTGCTCCACTCAGCCTCCGGCCCACACACTGGATTAGACACTGGAGCAACAGCTGCCAGCGTCAAACTCACCAAGCTCCAAGAACTCCATGACAAAAAGCAAACCATGGACAAGATCCTGCAGGAGCTGCATTCACTGAGAGACCAAACTCTCAACAATAACTCATGTAAGAATACTGCTCACTAGAACATACAAAGCTTCTTGTTATAGTTCTGTATCATTTCTTCCTGTAAATTGTTGATGGACATCACGTGTCTCCCTGCAGGTCGTGGCCTGTCGGCACAGTTCAGCCTGAGTGTGGGAGGATCTTCAGATGGAGCAGCTGCTCTGTGCACTAATGGGGCCTCAGCCTCCACTTCATTTCATCCTTCACTCACACAACACCAGGACAGCGCCAACTCCACAGACAAGCTCAGGTGCGCTCAGAAATACTCCCAGCTTCAAGCTCTTTAATTGGAATGTTGTGTATCAGCAGCATGGTGCTGTAGACTGCCTGTTGTGTAACACAGGATGGTGCAGTGCAACCTCGTAGCAACAAAACCTACATTGTGTTAGATTGTGCCAACAGTTCATAAGTTTGCTGCTAAAGTTCTCTTAAACAAGATACTCAGTCGGGGTTTGCTCTTCTGTAGGTGACTATGAACTTTGACCTTAAGTAGTGGCACAAATTTTAAGACATTGCTCTTGTTTGTTTCATAAAATCGGAAATTGTTACACATCAATTTCATTCACGTGATTTGTTGTAATTATTAACTCCCCACAGGAAGCTGAAGGAGGTCCACAAGCGTTTGAATGAGCTCCGGGAGTTAGTTCAGTACTATGAGCAGACTTCTGATATGATGGTGGATGCGGTCAATGAAAATGTGAAAGAGGATGAAGAAGATGAGGAAGATGAAACAGAGGATGGTTCTATATTTGAAGCCATGTTTGACTCTGAGCAGGAGAACCGCCAGCCTGTGACTAATATCAGGTGAGGGTCTAAATAAATGAATTAGTAAATAAACTGACGATAACATTTAAATGTCAGAGGAGAAAAAGTTTTCACTATAAACAAATTGGGATTACAGTACGATGCGCATGATTCCACTACTGGGATGTAACCATAATAGATGCTGCATGTGATCTTTAGAAACCCACAGCGCAGAGGGAACTGGACAGACCTGAACAGCCTGACCAACGGGCGCAGTGTCAGGAGCAGTGGTACTAACAACCGGGACGGCAGACTCAACACTGAGTGTGAGATCAACAACCGCTCAGCAGCCAACCTCCGCAGCTTCAAACTTCCCTCAGCCATAGGTACGCACATGGACACACTGACTAATTTCACATCTTGTGTATGTATAAATATGTATAAATACACAAAATGATTAGTGTGAAGTTGTTTGGATGATGCTTTCAAGATTTCAGGAGCAAGCAGTTGAAGGTTTATGTCAATTTAAAGTTTAAAAGGGGCAAGCAACACATTTCTACAGGACATGACTTTTCAGACCAACAGAATCTAAACATTTCTGTAACTTTGCTCTCATCTAGAGTGCCAGTACAACAGGGACACTCCCTATAATCAGGTGAAGCACGAGGATGAAGATGAGGAATGTCTCGATCAAGACACGGGTGCACAGGCTGTGGCTCCTGACAGCGAAGCATCGGGGTCCAGTCGGAGGAGCAGCCTGGGGAACGATGGAGGATTTTCCCAGAAGGTCCATCGTCAGACAGCAAAGCAGAAACTACGGCAGCTGCAGGAACTGGTTGCCATGGTTCAGGTGAGACGAATGTACTGTGTCATGTCAATATAGTGTTGTTGTGGGTTTTCTAAATTGTCGCAGTGTAACATAAAGCGTAGGATCTGAACATTCCTGACTTTGATGACTCCTGTGTATGCCATCAAACAGATGCTGCATTCATTTTCAACAGATGACATATAGCTTTGCAAAACCGTAGTTAAAGTGTGTTTCTGCCTCCATCAGAGTGATGACACAGATGCTACAACAGCTAACGAGGATGAAGCTTTACACCAACAGCCAAATAACACCAGAGCTACTGCAGCGAGGCCACTCGGATCTGGATCTAAACAGAATTCCAGAGACCTGACTCTCTCCAGCAAGGCCAGGTACGGCCTGTTTGACACTTTGACACATGTTGACTAATGTTCAAAACTTTTTTTTCAGTATTTTCTGTTTATTTTGTCTCATTGTGTTTTGGAATTGGTTTAATTCACATTGCATTTAAAACTACTCTGAACTCAGGGAGAAGTTGTATGAGGAGAAGCTGCTTCAGCAGAAACATGAGTTGAAGCAGCTCCACGAGGAGCGTCAGAGGCTCACTGAAATTCAAGGCAAAATCCACGACCTCCAGTGGGCTTGTCCCGACCTCCAGGTATTTTACACACACAGGTTTCCTGTCATACTCCATGAAAGTAAAATAGGATTTCAGAAAAGGTGGAATCAGGAAGTAGAACTGATATTAGATTTAATAATCATGAAATAAAATTAACACCTCAGTTTTGACAAAATCTTTGGATTCATTGCACGATTGTTGTATTAGGCTGCATTAGTTTTAGCTAAGTGTACTTAATAAACTGTCAATTCTGTGTAAACCTGTTGTTCAAACCTGTGGGTTACGTATTTGTAATATATACTGTAAATATCCATGTCTTTCTAGTCATCTGTGTCCAGCACGGTGAGTCAGCAGGGTTTGCTGAAAAAGGTCCCAGTTGCAGTTTCCTCTCCGGCCACTATTCAGACTTCATCATCCGGACTTAAGACCAACTCTGGTGTCCTCAAACCCACTGCTCCAGAAGCAGCTACGTCTTCAGTCACTGACAATGAGGTAAGACCCTCGACCACAAAGAGTCAATGGTCAAAATGTGACCTGCATGTTCAGAATTGACTCCCCTTTGTTCTTGCCTCGCCAGCAGCTTTGGTCAGAGATGCGTCGCCACCAAATCCTGCGGGAAGAACTGCGCCAACGCAGAAAGCACTTAGAGTCCTTGATGGCTGAACACCAGAGGCGTCGTGGTGTCGGTGATTCTCCTCACCGGACTGACGACCAGGACAGCCTCGCTACGCCCTCGCAAACTATCAGCAGGGATGAAAGGTATGAGGCATATAGTTCCAGGGGCTTGCCTCATAAATGTCCAAGTGATAAGTTGGTTTTTAGTATTGATATTTCTTTCTTTTTGTAGAGCACTTCTCACTCATCATTTTATTTAACTGATATAGGAATTTTAACTTATCAGTCGTCCACATACGGCTACATTTTGTAACATTTTGTTGATGTGTCATTAGGACAATGGCTACCTGGGGTTCCTCTCCTTGCCACCTCGATGGTGATGATGACGACGATGACGACGACGATGATGATGATGAATATCACACGGAGATAGGTGCAGAGGAGGAAGAGGAGCAGGAAGAATGTGCAGAGAGCACCTCTGATGACGACATCCACATCTTCCTTTCGAGCAGGAACCAGTGCTCTTACAGTAACAGGAATAATCAAGGAAGGTGAGACACAGTGGAGCCAGTATGAATGATGTTACGTTCTAGTTCTGATATCTATAATATGTATTTTAAATGCATGTGCTTGCCTTTCTGTGTCTCCAGTAACCTAAAGCCTCCACCAGCTTTCTCAGGTGAGTGTGGTGGCAATCTTCATAACAAGACGAAGGTCAAGCAGCAGCAGCAGCAGCAGCCGTCGAGGAGTTTGAACCAGTCTGCAAACCAACATGGAGGTACACGGAGGCAAGAAAACCTCCGCTGGGCTTCAGAGCTTTCCTTTACTGAGGGCTCGTGTCCCTGGCAGGATCAGATCAGCCAGCTGCAGAGACAGCTGGATTTCAGCACCAGCATGTGTCAGACGCTCCTGCAGGACCAGCAGGTTGGTGCACTGAACAAGTGGAAGTGGATTTTCTTTCTCTTCCAAAATAAAACAGAAAGTAATGAACCTCTTGTGTTTTCTCTTTCCACAGACCCTGTCCTACATGCTGCAAACCCTGCTGACGAGTCAGTACAGCATGTTACCAAACAACCTTCCATCGCCGCAGGTCCAGCTGGTCATGCAGCAGCTCAACCAGTGTTACACACAGCTGGCTTGGCAGCAAAACAACATACAAAGGTGAAAGCAATAGCATACATACACCACTTTATCTGTAACGTAAGTGGTACATCTTTGTTAATGTGAAACTTCTCCTCCAGACTAAAGCAGGTCCTGAACGACCTCCTTCGCCAGCAGCAGCAGCAGCAGCAGCTGCAGCAGCCTTCCTCTTCAGCAGCAGGTTGGCAGACCCAGAAGCAGAGTTCATCCCAGGAATCCAGCTCTGGTCCCTCGGCCTCTCCTGGCATCTTCCCCTTCTCCTCTACCCTGCATCCTAATACCAACAACATGTCAACTGCTGCCTTATCCCCGTTCCCTCTCAGTATGGCACACATGTTTAATTCTAAAACAAATGTCTTTTTGACAGTCTGTCAAAGTTTTGTCTTTTTGGTTTGTGCAGAGTGTAGCGTTCAAAAAACCCTCCCAGCTACTCAAAAATAAATTATAAGTCATTTTAAAAGGTGCATTTGAATTTGAAGTCATGAATATATTTTAAAGTGACTCAGTTGTGAAGAAGTGAAAGTCCAAATGTCTAACTGTCAGGCTAATTAAGTTTTATTTTTCATTCCTACAGGCTTTAACTTGTATCCACTGTTTCCTGCTCCCATGGGTGAGTTCCCTCAGGATGCAGCAGGTCATGCTGCATCCAACCACCAGAAGCAGCAATTAGACCCCAACACTTCAATCAAAACAGAGTACATGAGTTTCCCTCCCCCGCTGCAGCGCTCTCCTCTTAACAAGACGCCAGAACGAGGGTATGTCCATCATACTTTGCATTTAAAGACATTTTCAATCATCCAACATTGTTGTTCGTATATTTATTTTTCTACATGATCCCTTTTAGAGCTTCTGGCTGGCTCAACACCTCCTACGCAAACAACACCGTCCAGCCTCACCCATCTAAAAATCACCCACAAGAGTCCCCCCCCTCCTCTCCCACTTTTGTGAACCGCCCCTCCAGACCTCAAGACTTTGACCAGGCATCACTGGAGAGCTTCTCCAGCATGCCCGATCCTGTTGACCCCACCACTATAACCAAGACTTTCAAGGCCGGGCGTAAGGCCTCCGCACAAGCCAACCTGGCCTCCCGAAGCAAGACTCCCAACTCCAAGGGTCGTCGCAGGTGGAACAAAGGGCACAACAAGAACAGTGAAGGTAGGAAAATGGAATGGAATGTGTAACTGAAGCTGCTTTCAGACACTGAACTCCACATAATCTCCTGAAATTATCTGGAAGGGCTGAATGTGAGAGTGCAAATCACAGACACCTGGTAGAAACTGTTTGTTCACCTCAAGTGATGATGTTTCTAACGCACAACAGACAAAATGAAAAAAAACAAAATGAATACCTCAAAAAATATCTCATGTGAGAAAGAGTTGTCGTTCTAAAAAAAGATGGAAAGATTTGGGAGTTTCTGGCGATGATGGCTGATGCAGGTGTCAATGTGCTCTCACCTGTGGTTTTATTTTGTTGTGTGCTCCTCAGACCGTGACAGTGACAGCAGCACTGTGGACTTTGTCCAGGAGAGGGCCGCCCCGACCCGTCAGAAGAATCAGAATCAGAGTCTGCTCGACAAACTGACTCAAGAGAAACTGAACAGCAAGACTAAGCCTGGGAACAAAAGAAATGACCTCTCCTCTGGTATGGATAGAAATACCCCTAGTGAATGTTATACACCTGCACTCTTGTCTGTTTAATTTTTTTTATATCCACATCTGGCTTATTTTACATCAACACTTTTTTTTATGTAATTAATGCATCTCATCATTTTACATAATTTTTATTTATTTTGTGTATTTGTCACGTTTATTTTAATTCTGGGTCAAATTACTTTGTCACTTTTAATTTATCTTACTCACAGCCTATGCTTGGAGGACACCCTTCCTCTCTAACAGAATTGCATGCACAGAAGCACCAGGTAATCTCAAAATGCGAATCCAAGAATTGTTTGGTTTCGTGTTACCTTAACATCACATGCATGCAAATCTGCACTAAAGCTTCTACGTACGAGGACAGATGACTGTTTTCACTCATGGACCAGATTCTGTAAATGACCGTTAATTCTTTTGAACCTGCAGATGCGAGCAGTGACTTCTCTCTGTTCGAGGCTCTGAGGGAAACCATTTACTCCGAGGTGGCGACCTTGATATCCCAGAATGAGTCCCGGCCTCACTTTCTCATCGAGCTCTTTCATGAGCTGCAGCTGCTCAACACCGACTACTTACGGCAGAGGGCGCTCTATTCCCTCCAGGTGAGAGTGGACACATGCATCTGTTGTTTCAATCTAATGTGAACATATTCTTAAGACTGGGCTCTAATTATCTGATTGTATTATAAAATGGGTATTTTTGTAAATGGCAGACTGTGGGATTTAAGGACAAATGTAGTAAAGCTGGCGGCCTTGAACTATTTTGGGAAACGTGTCTGAAACCATTATCTTCTATTTTTAATATTTGATTTAATCCAAACTGTGTCTATTCTTGTGTGATGTAATCTGATTTCGATATTAGAATCACATGCGATCTGACCTCACACAATCTTTCATTGCTAACTTCAGTCCATGGTTACAACCGTCTGTCTGTGTCTCTCTCAGGATATAGTGACTCGGCACCTGGCAGAGAAGAGTGCAGCTGAAGACCAGCTGCCCCCTCTCGGTCCTGTGGTGTGGGCCGCAGGCTCTCACTCTGAGCTGACGCCCAGTGAGAGTCTGGCTACCAGTGATGCAGTAAGAGACGCATCATCACCTCCCAGCATGAGACTCCCACCCCTTCCTCCATAATGTTTCTTCTCTTCTTATTAACAAGCTGTGGCCTGTTCTGCAGTATATTGTTTCACTAACTTTACTTTCTTCCTCTTCTACATTTCCGTCTTTGATCAGTCTCTCTCTCACCTTTCATCTGTCTCTGCCTCGTCTCATGTCATCCGTCAATGTCTCTTTCAATTCTCTGATTTTAATTCCCCCCACCCTATTTTCATTGTCTTTGAATTGAACTTGGCAGCACAGCACAGCCTGTCTGTAAAGAAAATGACCCTCATCTTTCCATGTCTCTGTTTCCCAGATGAGACATGAATCCTTTGTTCTGGGCCAAGGTCCCCAGAGATCTGCTAATTGGAAGCCAGACCCTTGTCTGTCTAAATAACCTTTGTTCAGGAAATGTCTAATTTTCCGTGTTTGTTGTTTATCATATCATACACTGTGAATTCTTTGGGTGCTGTTTATTAAGTGGATCTGTGATTCATCTATTGTCTTATATTGAAAATGATCAAATGTAAGATGGAGGTGTTGTTGGTTTGTGTTTGCACTCAAAGCAGAATGCTTGTCTCCTTCAGGAGGTGGTGGAGAAGAATGTGAACACACAGAACAGAATGAAGAAGCGGGAGGAGGCAGAGTCGGTGGACAACGACAGCACCATGTCGACCTCCTCCAACCTGGAACCATTCGCTAATGACGACCTGGGTATAGTTTGCAGTTGCATGTGTACAGCTTCTGATTTTGGAAAGCGACGGTTTAAAGCTCAGAAATCTTTCACTCTCCACTCGTGTTCAGCTGATTTGCTTTGCCTACTTCCTTTGACTGAGGTTCCCCTTCCCAGTTTTTCCAGCAGAGTTTCTCTGGGTGAACAATCAGTTTTTACACATGGGATCAACTCTACTCTGCCAAATTTAAGAATATATCCTGAATGGCCGACTCTCAAATTTGCAGAATTTCAGTATCTGATTAATAAGCGACGCCTGGGATACTGTGTTTGATCCTCTAGTGTCAGCCTGGTTGTTCTGCAGGTGCATTAATATCCATCACTGTCTTCTCTTTCCTCTTGCTGCATTGATTTTTGAAATATTCATATCCCATTTCTGTTTCTCCCTGCTCTCCTTCCTCTCTACGCTGCTCCGATAGGCAACACAGTGATTCATTTAGACAAAGCTCTGGCCAGGATTAGGGAGTATGAGCGCATGAAGCTAAAAGCTGAATTTAACCCCTGCAATGCCGGCGCTGCAGGTGCAGGTGGCTCTGACGTCTCACACGCTGAACATCCTTCTGTTAACCCTGCGCAACCCCTGGAAGGTACCCGACCCCATGACCGACTGCAACATGTGCAAAGAACTGTAGCGACTGTAGAATACTGTGCTCTTTAATTTAGCTGATTTTTAAAATACGTATTAACGGTGACATTTGTGTGTGAGCAGGAGCAGAAGCTGGTGACTTGCGCTGTCCTCAGATCGACACGCAGCAGTTGGATCGTCAGATCAAAGCCATCATGACAGAAGTCATTCCCTTCCTAAAGGTAGAATCACCAACACAGGCAGCTGCTGGAGAAACTCTGAATCTCTTATGTTTAACTAATAAAATATAAAGTATGGGCTTGTTATTCTAATTCAGTAATTGTTTTAAAGCAACACTTTGTCAATGCGTTGACCATAGCTCTGACTGCTTGGTCCCACTGAATTTAAACACAACAGAGCGGTGGATATTTCCCATAATCCCCGTCTTCCTGAAACAGATGAGCTGCTGCTGTAACAAATCCACCAAGCTCTGTTTATAATTATTCATATTTCAAAAGTTTTTGGGCTGAATATTGGAGATAAACGCAATTGAAGACCATCAGTTCCACACTTCTCACAGGAGATCGAATCCACTCACCAAAGTCACATAGAGCAAGAGCGTTCAGGATGAGGCGTGGGAATAAAAAAAGCTGCTATTTTATGGTGGAAAAGTTTCACCGTGTTGCTTCAAGGCTCAGATTAAATGTTACGTGGATATAACAGATTTGATCATATATCAATTATTTGTTCATACTGAGAATGTGAACACGTCTCATATTGTTTTCTGTTTTCTTCACTTAGGAGAACATGGACGAGGTGTGTTCCCTGCAGCTGTTGACATCTGTGCGGCGCATGGTCCTTACTCTCACGCAGCAAAACGACGAAAGCAAGGAGTTTGTTCGCTTTTTCCACAGACAGCTGGGAGGAATCCTGCAGGTACAACGGCCGTCACGTTCCTCAGACACATGTGACATGCGTGTGAATGAAGTCTTTCTGACACGTCTTGGATTTTGTTTCTGGCACCAGGACTCTCTCAGTAAGTTTGTCGGTCGCACTCTGAAGGACTGCGGAGAGGACCTCCTGGTGGAGATCTCAGAGATCCTCTTCAACGAACTGGCTTTCTTCAGGCTCATGCAGGATCTGGACAACAGCAGCAACGTCGCTTCAACAGCCAAACAAAAAAATAAGAGGACGGAGCAACCGAGTAAAGAAAAGCAGCGTCTCAAGGTCAGTTGTTTTTTTTTTTGCTGTGTTTCCACTCTGCACTTTAATGTGATTCAAAAATTACACTGAACTAATTTTGACTGAAGCTAATTAGACTCTTGTTGTTAATTGATCAATTAGGGAAATACATCAGCTGGTGGTGATAAATCAGTTTCTCCAGTCTACTCAGATGAAGACAAGGTTCGTCTCTTTAATACTGATAATGACGTTGTCAGTAACACGTCAGTGAACAGTGTTAGAATAATCTCTCTTTATTTCTACCTTCAGGACCAGGATGAAGCCGAGCAGGGAAGTGATTCTACACGACAGGAGATTTACCTGCAGACAGAGATGAAGAACAACAACAGGAGCAGTGAAGCCTCTGAGGTTGAAGAGGAAGAGGAAGGAGCTGGACACGGAATCCCTCTGTCAATCAGTGAGAGAGGTTTATTTTATGTCAAGAGCCCTTTTTTTTTTTAAATAAAGAAGGAAACAGTCTTACTCTGTCTTTCCTACCTATTCTCTTCAAAATAAAACTTTGAATAAGTGTCTTTGGATTGCATCAGGTTCTTCCTTCTGTAGCTCACAACTTAAAACTGACTGTTTGTATCTGAAAGCACTGAACCTGTAATATCACATTTACTTTTATAAATAGAAAAATGTATCTTAAAGCAAAACGCTTTTGAAAATAATCCAAAGCAAAAGAAAATTAATTTCAGTCCTGTGTCTTTATGCTGTATTCATGGTACATATTCAAATCTCATTCTTGTGCTGCCTTTTTTTTTCAGGTCTTTCCAAAGCAGAGACTCAGGCTCTGACAAACTACGGCAGTGGCGAGGACGAGAACGAGGAGGAGGAAATGGAGGAGTTCGAGGCCGGACCTGTTGATGTTCAAACCTCGCTGCAGGTGTCAGCTGATGGACAAGTGGAGCAGGAGGTGAGAGCCACGGTTAGTTTCTTTCCATCAACAACCACGTAACAAAAACCATCTGTCGTCTCAGTCTGATCTGTGTAACTATGTCGTGTTCTAGGGGACAACAGCCGGTGAATCCCAGGAGACCAAACCTGAACGGTGGAGTTCGGAGAACGATGACGGTGAGGCCCTCTGGATATTTTTAGAGGGAAATCTCCAACTTGCACAATTTAAAACTGGGTCAGTCTATTTTCACACCGGTTGTTAACCTCTTTTACCTTTTATCACAAATCTTTGTCTCGCAGAAGTTAATGAGGCAGTTGAGACTATGAATTGCACAGTGGATGAATGTAGCACAGCGGAGTGCCAGAGTCCTGAGGAGGACGAGGAGGAGGGTAAAGTGGAGGCAGCTGCTGCCTCAGAAGAAAACACCTTAGTCTCCAATGGTCAGGATGTCCCCAACAAGTCGTCCACTACGAGCAGCCCTGACTCTGACTCACCCGTCATGATCAACGTAGACGTATGTCCATTTTAAATTCGTGCTCATCCTATCGAGAGACTTTGGAATGATTCTTCTTGTCTTTGTATTCATTTCTTTATTATTGATGCAGGAGGTGGGGTCAGGAAACACAAGTCAGAAGTCAGACGAGGAAGATTTTGTGAAGCTGGATGATTTACCACTGCAGCTATCAGTGATGTGTGAGGTGTGTAGAAGCTATACACACACACACACACACACACACACACACACACACACACACACACACACACACACCTGTGTCCTCTCAGGTCATGTTTTTGGCTTCTTGAACATCTCAAATCTGCCTTTAGGGAATGTGTTTCAACCAGTTGTCACTTGGACTCAAAGAGTAATGGATAAGATTTGATTGGACAAACGTCACTGTGACCACATACACGTCCGGAAACACTGGTTGGTGGAAGCTGAGGATTCAAGATCCATGAATTATTCCCTTGTAAATTGGTGGAAATGTCAAAGAAAGGTCTCACAATGTTACAGAGAGACAAAACATTTCCTGTCCTTGTCAAAAAGTTTTATAGAAATCCTGCTGACAAACCAGCAGACGGGGGTGAAAGTGAAACCTCCTCGGTGGAGGTAATTAATGTGCATCTTTTTTAGCAGCACTGGGAAAAAACATTTCTTTAATCCAATGACTGTACTGTGTGTGTGTGTGTGTGTGCGTGCGCGGTGTTGTTAGGAGGAGCTTCAGAAGAGGATCGTGGAGGAGCAGCAGAACAACAACCTGTCTGTGGAGATCCTCGGCGGGAACACTGAATCGCTGACGGTGCTGGTGGGGAACGCACAGGCGCTGAAGGAACCAGGTATGGATTACAGTCCCCGTCGGTCAGGATTACAGTTTGTTTGTGCTGTTGCCAAACATTTTACAAAAGCCAAACCACGGTCTCTTGCTGCCATGTGCACATCCACACAGACCTGAGCTGACACTGCACGCCCTGGTACGTCCCTGCCGCTCCTTGAGTAAATGTTGTGTTCTCTTTTTCATATTTCTTTTTTCCAGACACCGTCGATGCCGAGAGTGTGTGAGGCAGCAGGGCGATGTCTCAACGTTCAAATTCTACTGTTTTTAGCAACACTATGATTTTCACTATTAATCTGTTCTGGTTTTATGATTGTTTAATCTGCTAGTTTAAAAAAAGAGAAACAGCTCAAAATATTGGTCACAAGTTAGCACACACACACACACACACACACACACACACACACACACACTCTAAATAAAACTAAACATAAACACTTAGTTCATTTTACTGCTGGTTGCTTTATGTGATTTACTGTTACTGGGGGGGGGGTTTGATTCTGAGCTGCTTATTTCTGACAGTTAAGTCTCCGTTTGATCTGAAGTCTCCTCTGTTCTGGGATCAGTTTGACATGTGTTGCAGTTTCTGTTTTTTTAAATGTTTTATCTGTCTCGCCTTACTCTTGTACAGTTTTGTCATTCCTGCACTTGATTTGTAATTATAAGGAGATTACAGTGTGATGGGAGTGCAGATGCAGATGCAGCCTGGCTTGTCTCTCCAGCTTCAACACTTTTTCCTTTATGAGCTCAGACTTTACTTTTATCCCTGTTTTGTTCTCTCAATCGTTAGACTCCAGTGATTTTCTCCTGTTATTGATTTGTTGACTCCTGTCATAAGTTTTAAGTAATAAAATACTGGAACCTTCAACAATGATGGTGTGAGTCTTTCTAGTGCTGATTCATCGTCAGGCCTTTCTTCTCTAGACGTGTGTCATCATACATATCTGCTGCTCTCAACATGTTACTGTCACTAAGGTTTACATTAACAAGGCAGGTCCACACAGGTTTACTGTCTGTAAGATATTAAATCATTTAAAAACTGTATTTTTGAAATTTAGTTTTGAAATGTTATAAGTAATCAAATCCAATCGGCGTTTTAGCTCAGGACTGGTTGGTCTGCAACACTGACTGTAAATAAAGATGGACTACACATCGCCACTTCCTCTCACTATCCAGAGAAGAAGTCAAAATATCCTGGACACAAACAATAACAGTAAAATAAGTGATCAGATCTAAAATGATAAAAAAAAACATCTTTTAGAAATAAGTATTTGACGAGAACCTTGGCTTGTCCCTTCCACTAACATGGAGGAGGTAGGGTTTATAATGGTTAATGTCATGATTTATAGGACTAAACAATAACTGAGAAATCTCCTAACACTTCAATATAAACACATTCATGTAGTTCACTTCATAAATAAATAAATCACCATCTGTAATTTTGTGAATTCATTTAATAACAATCTTTACAAAAAGCAAAGGTCAGCAATGAGGTACGTTTATCAGTGTTGTTACGTCGTCAGTAGTCACGTGATGAGACTGTAACTCAGCTGGTTACAGCCGTGATTGGAGAAGGCAACACACTGAATAAGGAACTTTTACCACAGACTGAATTACCAGAGCACTACAATTATCTTTAATTTAATTATACACATGTGCAACAATCTCAGGGGTTTCTCAGCCCGCATTGAGATCCAGGTATGATCACAGTAAAAATACAAAGACATTTACAAATTTAATTCACTTTCGTACCAGTTTCCCTCATGAACAGAAAAAAGCGTTAAAGTATTTTTATCAAAGTTATTTTCTGAATTGTCTAAAACAGAGAAGACCAACAAAATGACATCAGGGATACAAACAGACTTTGGTTCAGCAGATTCGTTGCTGTGCTTCAAGAGAGAACCTGCGGTTTTGTCTCCAGATCAGCTGAGCTCGTCTCGATCGGCGCTTCTACCAAGAGCTCAGCCTTTACAAACTGATCCGGGTTCAGACCATCACCAGGGCATGCAGGGGTTAGGGCAGTCACGGATGTACGACTCCAGGTTCCCAGTAGACACTTGCATCAGTGTTGTGTAAGTGGTCAACTGGAAAAAGACACACGGGGAAAATAAGAAACAAAAATGTTATTTAATCTGAAATCACTTAAATGTCTTTGAATTTTAGATCAATGGACAGACTCACCTTATTTAACACAGGTTTGGTTGAGAGGATGTCGTACATGGTCTTTAGAGAGATGTTCTAAACCAGGAGATAAACAAAGCTCGTTATTTAGAACTAAAAGAAATCACATGATTGTATCACGTCCTCTAATCAGAGACAGACGTTCGTCCAGCTCTTTACAGGAAGTAGGTGTGGTCAGGATATTCACCTTCTGTGTGACCTGGTTCATGCACTTCATGGCGGGAGTCCTGCGATCGTCCAGGAACAGAGGCTGCTCCCAGTGGTCGTAGTTTGTCTCCAGGACGTACCAACGATTCAGCTTCAGGTCGATCCTGAGGGAATCAAATGAAAAAACCTTGACGTGTGACACGCAGCTGCTCCACATGCAGAACTGCTTTGTGAAATATGATCAAATCAGCTGATCTAAAATGAAAGCTGTCATCAGGTCCCGGGTGGGGAAGCAGTTTAATGTTTCACAAGACAAACACATGGAATGCTGAGTCATGGTGACTTTTGAGCCACTACTTTCACTGCTGCATTTGATTTCATTGAATTGTTTTGAGCCCAGGACTGACTTTTACCGTACAAAGTCAATTTAACTGGTGATTTTAACAGAAGAGGCCTTTGGAATCTCAAGTCTAGATCCAAGATTACAAACACTGTGTATTGTTGGGATTAAACGCTCCGGTGCTTACTCCAACAAGTCGATGCTGAGCGTTCTGGAGCGGGTGATGATGCAGCCCTGCCCCGTCTGGTTTCCACCGAGGATGAAGTAAGCAGGAGCCAGAAGCTTTGTCGTAGCCAGGCGGGTTTTGGCCTCCTCATAGCTGAGGAGACAAAAGTGACATTTATTTTTGTGGGACAGAGACATCGTCGTGGAGAGACACCATTCAAGTTTTATACTAAACTTATAGAAATGACATCTGCTACTGGCTTTTAGAGTTACACATGTCCCTTTTAATTTGTCTTAATAACTTTTGAGAATTTGTATTTTCATTTTCAGGTAAAAGTAGTAGAAAAAAAAACCTGTTTGCATTTTCTAGCACAGAGCGAGTGAGGAAACTCATCCACATCCCGTCTCTCTGGCCCAGGATCCACTCCAGGATTCCTGCATTGATGAGTCGTCATTAATCATGAATCACTGTAAACCATCTCTCTTTCTCTCATGACATCACAAACGGAGCTGAGCGAGTTTTACTCACCGATGTATCCTCCATCAAGGCTGAAGCGTTCATTCATAGTCAGAGTGAATGTGTGCTGAGAGGACAATTTCAAAATAATTAAGTTACTGCCATCAGGAAGCTCCATCGTGTGATGTTAAATGATGTTTAGGAGGAAATATCTTACAGGCTTGATGCCGGTCAACATGCCGACATATCCAGCAAAGTTTGTGGATTTGAAGACGGTCTGGTTGTTTCTCTTGAAATCGAGGTTCACCACCAGAGGCTTCAGCTTCTCGCTAATGATCCATGACTTGTTTTTCACATCCCAGCTGTGAGGAGGGAAAGATTCATCTCATGAGATGTGTTGTGTTTTTTTTTTTTTTAAATCCTGAGTACGATCAAGCTTAAAAACTGAAATTCTCACCCCATAAATAAACCAAAGTCCAGATTTCTTCCATGAAGGAGGTTACCTGAGAAAGCACAGAGACAAAAACCTTTCAGCGCTGATGTAGCTTCTCTTTAAACTTCATAATTCAACATGATCGTGGACGATGAACAACCTTTATCATCTTCGGCAACGATTGATGTGCACACAGTGAACACCTCGTAAAAGATGTTGAACAAGACGACCTCACCTGCATTATAAAAACAAAGAGAAAAATACAGTTCAATGATCAGACAGGGAGACGCGTGGTGTCTGCAGAAAGTTCAGGACTTTTTAAAGAGTTAGAAACATTTCAACATTTGTTTTCTCACCAAGAGGAATTCCGGAAACGGCAGCGATTCCTTTAATTTCCTCACTGAACGGGTCTGGGAGAGTGTTCGCCATCAGAGGCTGCGGGAATGTATAAAACACCTCAGTCACAAAAGCTTTTGTGACAATACAGAAATGAGTCCAGTTTCGAGGAGAAGTAAAACTCACGAGTGTGACGTCGACCAGCTCCACCAGTCTCCCACTGGGCACGAACGCATCAGCCAAGTCTCTGATGGCCTGAATCATGGTCACCAGCTGAAAAAACAGAAAATCACCATGAGCATAAAAAGTGAGACTTCTGGGTAAATTACTTTCAAGAGCTCTGCAGATCTCTCACATCAGTTTTTTTGTCAGCGATCAGAGTGTTCCATCTCTTGCTGGGGGGCAGGTCCAGGTCCACTGTGTACCAAGCCACCGCTCCTCTGAACCTGCAGATGCAAACAGCTGTAAAATGACTGCAGCAGAATAACGACACGGAAAACATCCAATCACAGGATTATTATTTATTAGTTTGAGGCCATGTGGGCTAATTGTACAGGATCAATAACCTGCTTCAGGTTTAAAAAGTAACTTAGTTAAAGTAAAAAATACGTTTTCATTATAGTAAAATAGAATTAAGAAGTAAAACTAAAAAAAACTACCTGATGTTTTGTTTGTTTTTGGCAATTTTCCACCACAAGTAAACTAACAATTATTATTTTTTTACAAGCTGCGGGATTTAACCAAAACTCATCAGGTACAAGCTGCGGGATTTAACCAAAACTCATCAGGTACAAGCTGCGGGATTTAACCAAAACTCATCAGGTACAAGCTGCGGGATTTGGAGATGAACGAGGGGTACGTGAAGGCAGCAGAGCGCCGATGTTACCAAACACGAGTTACGTAGAGAAACTGTGATTCTCCATCTGTTAACGATTAACACGTAAACATCTTCACAGCAGCTTCACCGATGTTACGTTACTTACGTGGGTCCGTTGGGCGGGTACATGTGTGAGCGACAGTCCTCAGTGAACTGCAGAACACAAACACAACTTCAGGGTAACAACACCGAGTCCACGCAGTTTGTTGGTTTTCTCACGAGGACACGAACACAAACTTACCGGAGGGACGAACTGAGCGGAGGCGGCGGAGACCAGAGCCACGGACAGGAGGAGAACACACGGAGACATTTTCTCGACGTCTCGACACGAACTGTTTGTGTTCCGCTCCCCGGCCTGAAGTTTAGCACGTGACGGCGAGCTGACTTTACCGTGACACAGGGGGAACCGGAAGTTACCGAGGAGAATAAAACACCTTCCGAACCAATAAAAAAACGACACAAGTTGAATTAATTAACAATTAAACGTCAAGTGAAACAATAACAATTAGGTTTCTTGACATAAAAAGTGAAAAACTCGATGAATATAATTAACGCGGTGAGAACGACCCCCCCCCCAGCACATTCAACACAACACGGAAGTAAAATTAAATAACCACTTTTTTTTATATTCTTTATTAATCACATCAGAGACAACAACACATTCAACAGGAAATATCTCCATGATAATAAAACTTTATTTTACTGCACTCTATTCT